ATGATATGATATTCCAGATGGGGCCAGGCCAGGGTGAGGTGTCAACAGTCAAGTATCAATCCCCAACTCCAACACTTATATCTACATTTGTTCTCTAAGCCCCTTGGACATGGACCAGTGCTGATGTTATTGACACTGCAACCACATTTTCTATGTTATTAGTTCTAAGCCCCCTTGTACCTATAAGACAGTCCTCTAATTGGTCTGTCATCTGTCATGATTTGACAGTTTTATGGGATTTTTTTGGCTTTTTTGTGACAATTTGGACAGAATATGGACATATTATGAACCATGTATGTATATATGTAGAAAATTGCCAGATGGGGTTTTTCCTGATGCTACGCCAATCAAGGCCCGCTGAAAATCTATGTCATCTGTTACCCTTCGAAGTGCTCGCACATGCTGCAACCTCTCGATGTTGCCGTGTTTGCGCACATACAGTCGAAGTGGAAGAATCATTGTGACGATCTCATGGATAATCGTATCCGCATAACCCGTTACAACGTGATTGAAGAGTACATGGCTATCCAACGCGAAGTCATGACACCGGACCTCATCCGTACTGCCTTCAGGAAAAGCGGCCTCTATCCGCTCAATCCCGACATCTTCACCGACGAGGACTATGCGCCAAGTCAGGCATTTTCGATCAAGGCCCATACTCCTCCATCCTACCCCTTGCACGTTCCCTCTTCCGATCCTGCTGTGCCCACAGACAATGACGATTCAGACAGCTCGGACTCGGATTACACAATGGACACCTCAGATACAGAGGCGGAAGAGCTCGCAAGCCAGGACACCAGCACAGTGCGCGGCCCTCTCACGCGTTCTGCATCACACTCCTTCGCTTCCGACATCCTCAACACTCCGTACCAGCCTCTCACTATGGACCGACTTGCACGCTTCTCGCACGATCAGCTGATATCGACGATTTGTGATCTTCAAGGCCACGTCTGTCGCCTTCAGCAAGCGCTCAGGGAGACTGAAGCTCTTCGCCAGAGTGCCGATGCACATTGCACACTCTCACGTCTTGCACTGGAAGAAGAGAAGACCAGGCTCGCGAACGCCAGCAAGAAACAAGCACGGGGATCTGCAAAAATCAAGGCTCGGATTGTTGCTGCACCGGAGCTTCAGGCACATTTCGAGGAGCAACAACGTGCCGCCGCTGCAAAGGAGAGAGAGGCTCGAGAGAAGGAGCAGGCAAAGTCCGTTCAGAATGCGGAACGCGACGCACGCCTTGTCTACGCAGCTACGTCAAAAGTTTACGACCATTCATTGAGCACTTACACCAAAAGGAAGGACGATCTAGTCGGGCTTGCACGAGCATTGAAGATCAACGACGACGGTGCCAACCCCGTGTTACTCGCCAGGATCCGCGACCACCTCAATGCACACCCTGAATTAGCTTCCAATCCTCGCTTTTTTGGACTCTTCCGCTCTTCACGACAAGCTGGCCATCCAGTTTCCGCCCCACAAGAGTCCTCGCAAGTGCTTCCTACCTGACTCAGATAAGCTCATGTAAACCCTTCGCCGCCGCTTTTTTGACTCGGTCTTCTACATGATAATGGCCCTAATAGCTCTACTACGTGCTAGTATTAATCGTACATAGTTCTATCCTACCGCTGTCCATATTGCGTACTGTACGGTAACTCGACTCATCCTCGACTTTTGCGCGCGCAACGGACAACTGTGCTGAGTTTGAAACTGCCGTATCGGCAGCAGCTTCCGAGCCGTTACGCGTGACGAAACTGACGGAACGGCGGGTCTGACGAAATCCCGGTGGCATATAGTAGTAGTTGTGATCCACTCTCCCATCCGTATCGTATTCATTGTTATGCTATGTGATTACAGCCTGAAGAAAGGAAAGCAATGCGAAAGACGACAACTGGATTCTGGGTCTAGTTCCTTCTACCAAGTACCACCTACTGCGCGATGCTGGTGTAGTGCAGACGTGCTACAGCAATCGCTTCGTCCACTTTGTCCGTTTCCGTCCCCACTCCTTGCGCACCGTCCTCTTTCCCGCCGGTCTATTGCACAAATCGGTGACTTGTCAAGATGGAAAGCCGCAAACGTACCTTGCCGCCTAGAACCTCAGCGACTTTAGTTGCCCATGTTCGGGCATCCAAACCCTTCGACCTGGCTTCCGCAGGGGAGTGATTAACATGCACCACCTTGCTGCCTTCTTTGTCGACACTGAAAACGTAGATAGCCTTGCCAAGCTTCTTGCCTTGCAGTACAACGGATTGCAGTATCTGCATCCTGTCAGACCCCCACCAGTGCGAGTAATGATATTATAGGTACCTTCATGTTGCCGTTCACGTCAATATTGGCAAAGTAGCTGCCTTCCGATGGATTCTTGTCAAAGTGACTGGTCAATTCTTCTACAGCCTATATCCTCGATCGATTAGTCGGAAAATAATCAGTGCATGGACATTGACATACCGCTTTACTTGCAGCCGCTTCCTTATCCTTTGTCTGCTTGTCGAAGGTCTTACGAATCGCCGCGTGCCGGTCGCGCAATTGGCCTTTGATAACTACGGACATGTCCATTTGCCCAAGCTCCTGCATCGCAACGTGAGCCACGTCCACTGCGAGGAAACGGGTTTCGCACAATAGGGAATGTCTTCAATGCAACGTCCTTCTCCTTTCCATCCAAACCCTCGATACGATCCAGCTTGGCCTTCATCTCTTCAGCACAACGATTGGCAGCTGCCGCTTCGTGGCCGGTGACGGCAATGACTCGACGGATACCTTTAGCGATACCGGATTCCTCAGTGATGATGAAGTCCTTGATATCGCCCGTCTTTGCAACGTGCCTGGTAGGTAATTTTAGTACCTGAAAATGGGTGAACGAGAGGGCCTCACGTTCCACCGCAGAATTCAACACTCGTGCTCCTCCACTTCAGATTCTCGATATCCTTCGCTATCTCTTCGACGTCGTACTCCAGCGTGACTACTCGAACAGGATCCGGATACGACTCGCCGAAAACGGCTCGCAGTCCAGGTATCCTGTGGGCAGTCTTCAAGTCGAGCTCCTTACTGTACACCTTCACGTTCTTCTTGATCCAGTCTTTGCTGATAGACTCGATCCGAGTGAGTTCGTCAGAGGCAATCGCAGCTTTGTGAGAGAAGTCGAAGCGAAGCTTCGTCGGTGCAACCAGCGATCCTTTTTGGTCGATGTGGTCGCCGAGGACCTCACGCAGAGCAAAGTTGAGGATATGGGTGGCAGTATGATTGTTGCGCAATGGCCAACGTCGCAACTGGAAACCAGGTCCATGTGAAGATAGGTAATGAAGAGGAGACATTCTCGTACCTCGTCATAAGAGCTGACTACTTGGTTCCCCACCTCAAGGTTGCCGTACTTCAGGTGCCCGATATGCAGGACGTATCCGTTGAAAGTCTGTACGTTAGTGACCTCGAAATCTGCAACGCCGTCTATGACAATGTTCCCGGTGTCGTATTCCTGGCCACCGGCTTCGGCATAAAAGCTGGTGCGGTCCAGCAGGAGACCGAACGTGGTTCCTTCGGTAATGCCAGAGGAGGAGGGTAGGAATTGCTTGTTGTAGTAGATAGCCTTGATTTCGGCGGTGATGTTCCCTTGGTCTGGCGAAAAGTCACGATAAGGTATGCAGCAGCTGGAAATTGGGGTCGACTCACTGAACTTTGCCGAATCATCTGTCTTCGGAACATCGGGATTTGTCTCCAAAGCAGCGATGTCATGCACGTCGAGCTTCACAACGTCGGCCGCGCCCTTCTTCAACGAAGCCTTGCTTGCCTCCTTTGACGCTGCTTGAGCCTCCTCAAACTCTGCCTGGTTGACGCCGAGCCCGAGCTCCTCGGCCATTAACAAGGTCAAATCGACCGGGAAGCCGTACGTATCGTACAAGCGCCAGACGTCCTTTCCGCTCAAATCCTTCTCGCCGCTCTGCTGGGTGCGAGTGGCGTATTGCTCGAATAGCTTCTCCCCTCTGTCGAGGGTTCTCGAGAACGACTCTTCCTCCTCATCGAGAATCTCCTTGATTTCGTCTGGCCGTTTCCGTACTTCGGGGAATATATCTCCCTGGGGAGCATTGATTAGCGATTTACGGTTGAGGGAACGAAGCGATTTGCGTACCATTTGCTCGATAACCACCGGCATTAACGACGAGAAAAAGGAACCAATCTCCACTCCCAACTTTTTGCGTGCGTACCGTGCACCACGACGGAGAATTCGGCGAAGAACATAGCCACGGCCAACGTTGTTCGGTACACCACCGTCACTGAGCGCCATCGTCAATGTCCGTACGTGATCAGCCACGACACGATAGGCTGTATCAATTCCATCCACATCCTCGGCACCAAATTTCCCCCCGTAAGGGCGAACACCTGTGAGCTCCTGCACCTTATCGAAGATCGGCAGGAATACGTCGGTATCGTAATTCGAGCGGACATCCTGCAGCACAGATACGAGTCGCTCAAATCCCATTCCGGTGTCAACATGTTTAGATGGTAAATGCTTCAATGATCCATCTTCTTCGCGGTTGAATTGGATGAACACGTTATTCCAGATCTCAAGGACGTCGGGATCATCCTGATTAACCAGGTGGGCAGCGTTACGACCACCGATCCGGTCGAAGTGTATTTCACTGCGCGAGATATTGAGCCAATAGAAAGTGTCAATGAATGAAGGGAGGTCTGACCTGCAGGGCCCGCAAGGGCCAGTCGCACCCATCTCTGGGAATAATGAGTATGCCTTCAGCCAAAGTGGATCCAGAGATTGACTCACCCCAGAAGTTGTCTTTCGCATTCCCAGGGAGAATGTGATCTTCCGAAACTCCTTGATCTAGCCAGTACTGGCGGGCTTCCTCGTCGGGAACCAATCCATTTTTCGCGTCGCCTTCGAAATACGTTACGTACAAACGATCCTTGGGGAGCTTGTACACCTCGGTGAGGAGCTCCCAAGAGTATTGGATGGCCTCTTTCTAAGAATTTCATGAGTGCGTGTGTAAACTGATCAGCACATGCGAAACACGCCTTGAAGTAATCTCCGAATGACCAGTTGCCCAGCATTTCGAAGAAAGTGTGGTGATACGAGTCCTTTCCGACATCATCCAGGTCTGAGGGCAGGCTATTAGCTGACTCGCGTTGCTTCTGGATGCGTGCAAACCGTTGTGTTTCCCGCCAGCACGAATGCACTTCTGGCTGTTGAAGACACGCTTCCACTTGGCCATCTCGGAGTGCGGGTCCACCGTGCCCAAAAAGATGGCTTTGAACTGAGAAAGAGAAAAGGTTGAGATATCATTATACATGCTCTGGTGAACTTCTACGTACTTGGTTCATCCCGGCATTGGCGAACAGTAGCGTCGGATCCTCATATGGTATGGTTGAGGAAGAGGGGACATATGTATGGCCTTTCGAGCGGAAGTAGTCAAAAAACTGAGAGCGGACTGCGGGGGCGGTCCATGGACCCGTATACTTAGAGGTAGCCATGGTAGATTGTGAACGGGCGAAGATCCTGGGCAGGATAGATATCCTGACCATCCGAGTCAGATACCAAATCAATACCACTCATGTGACCGACGCGCTTTTCGATCCCGACCATGCCGCGCATACCCCGCCAGCTCGCCCAATTGCTGTCGAGGCCACCGACACTCGCCCCCGTTCGTCCGCTGCAGACGCTGGTCGCTCATCGAACTCCCTTACCCGCTGCATGCGCGGTTCCCTCATGGCGACCGGCAATCCTCGGCACTTCATGGTGCCAACCCACCACATCGCCCATCCTTAGCCTGGTTCCTCAAGCTCGCTTCTTCGTCAAGGGCCACGAGTATCAGCCATCTCAGCGTAAGCGCAAGCGGAAACATGGGTTTCTTGCACGCAACAAGAGCGTTACGGGCAGGAAGATCTTGGTTCGTAGGAGGGCCAAAGGCAGAAAGTTCCTGAGCCATTAGAATGTATGGCACCCATTCTGTTTATTCAAACTATATTCACACATACTCTTACTTAGCTCACACCTCGCACTGAAGATGAAGCCAATTTTGCATTATTCACCGCGCGCGCTCTCGCGCTGGCTACAGCACTTTGACCCCTGGGGCATAGATAAAGAAGGGTGTAGACAGGCTTCCTCCTGCGATGCGAGAACTGTACATCAATCACCGATGACAACACGTTTCATACAGCTATGCTGTTTCTATTCTATTGAACTCCACGTCTCCTAGTACTTCCCTGTCCAGTTGATCCATAGAGCGATCACAGAGAAATTCCTGCCCCGGCAGGCCCGCAAGATTATAATGCGGCACATCCAAACGCGATGGTAGTGCATTGATCTCAGGCGATGGCGTGAAAGCCGTGCGACACGACGGGGCACCCATATGATTGAGATGTCCAGCATGGTGCGGAGGTGATAGCGGGGACGCAGGCGTGTACATGAAGCCCTGCTGAATCTGCGCGAATAACGACGATATCGGCGTGCGGAATAAATCCTCGTTGGTGGTTCCAGCGAGGCGCTGTGTCGGTGTCCGGTTGTTCGGGGTATCACACGGTGTAGCATGGTGTATTACGACCACGTCGGGAGTCGCAAGCGCCAATTCTGGATTTAACACATCTACGTCGGCTGGTATCGCTGGCAGCTCCTGTTCCACGGGTAATGAACACTGAACTGCTGTAGCTGCTGGTTGAGATGCGGCAGCCGTTGCTTCTGTTGGCTCCGGTGACGGTGGCAAGGCGACTAGCGTTGGAGAGACACCTCGACCCGGGCTAGGAGGAAGCGGGACCATCTCCGAGATCAGAGTGTTATGTACATCTTTCCGACGCGTTTGTACTGTGGAGGTGCTAGCGTCCTGCCCTGGCTTTGATGCAATTCTACTCCGTGCGCGAGGCTCTTCGCGTTTACGACCGGGCACTTTCGAGGGTGGGGCCGTCTTTGACTGAGAACTTTGAGCTTTTTCGGCCGCGTTGGCTTGCGCTTTCGCCAGCTGTGACGCAGTGGGTCGGGTTAAAGTGCTACCCTTGTAGCTTGCGACACGTTCGTGATGACGATCAACGGTTCTGCTGGTAGCGCCCGGAGCCGCTGTTGCGGATGGCGGGCGCGCCACAGGAGGTCTCGCCACTGGCACGGGAATGGCACGCTCTGTCCCTTGACGAGGGGCTTGTATCGAGGGCTTCGCAGTTCCGACAGATTGTGAGGGGGCCGGATGAAGGGCCATCCGAGCCTTTGCCGTGCCAGCCACGGGCTTGGAGGACAAATCAGAACGAGCTTGAGATGAGACTGATAACGCAGATCGGACTGGTGCTGCAGAAATCGTGTCCTTCCTCGCACTCGGATCAACCCCTGTTGATATTTCAATACGCCTGGCGGCGATTCGGCGGGACTGCGGGACGAGGAGCACGGAAGTGGTGCCCCTCGATGGATGGCTTGGGTCGAAGCGGATAGCTCCCCTGTGGTGGTGATCGTTTGCAACATTTCTCGTGACAGCTGTCGCGTTTTGTGCTGCGCCTGGCATCGCAGTGGGAGGTCTGATGGGTTGCGAATTCGTGCTGAAGGGTCGGGATTTGTCCGTGTTCACATCATCTGTGGGACGATAGGGCACAACCGCATGTGCTCGTCTCGTGTCACTGAATTTTAGCGCTGACCGAGTAGCGTTGATAGGTCCAGAATGACCTTCCACGTCGCTGTCCACCGCGGTCCTGTTGTCTTGTGCACGCCCCTCAGAAGCCTGAAAAACGTGACCCCCTTTGCTAGCTGTCGTCGACCTCAGCCCAGCTCCCTTCTGAACGACGGTGGTCCGAGGCGCGCCTTCCATCCCAGGTGGTTCGCGAGCCATGGACGTGGCCGGGCGGGAAGAGGTGCTCGACATGACTGAAGGAGGCCGAGATGATTGTATTCTGGACGATAGATGGATGTTTAAATACTTGCGAGTGGTCGGGGTCAACGGTTCTACGAAACTGACCCAAGTTCAAGACGTGTAGGGCGAGAACAGGGATGATAAACATACCTTGGGACACGATCCGGTAGTACAACTCCGTAGGCTTCGAAAACCTTTCGACTAATTTTTCTCACATCCGCATTGCAATCCTTGGCTGTCAGCCTGATGGCCGTCTCCACTTCTCGTGCTCGAGCATCCCTACAAAGTTCTGAAGGACTGAGCGTATTGACGCAGGCGAAGACGGCTTCTAGGGAGGATAGCCGGACGGAAACGGCTTTATCCCTTAAAGATGCCACCAAGAAGGTGAGAATCAATGGTGATTGGGTCTCTTCCACGATAGCAATGATGCACGACCGGGCTCGGGTGACAAAGAGCTTGTTCGGCCGTGCGCACAGATTCAAAAGGACGGGAAGGAATATAGGAATCAGAGGGATAAATGTTGAGCCCATATTCGATGCCAGTGTTTCCACCAGCTCTATGGCTTGCCCGGAAAGAACGGAGCGCTCCGAGACCATCGAGCTCGTCAAAGGGCTGGACAGGGATCGAATGGCTTGAACCATCTCATCGGAGAATTGGCAAGCCCCGCCACGAGAGAGACTGGTGATCCTTTGTATCCCTCGACCAATGATGTCCCAAGTATCTTCCGTTTCTGCCTTTGCCAGGGCTTCCCGACTTAGTCGAAGTTCCCGTTCCAGCACAGCGATCGAATCACACTAGGTGACGAGTCAGCACGAGGTAATACCAGTATCAAGCATGTAATGCACCGTAATGATAGCAGGGACTCTAGATGGCATTTGTGACACTGGGAGGCGACAAGCAAGGACTCAACCAACCTGAGACGCGAAACGGTGAGGATCACGTGACCGCGTGGGTTGGAAAACGCAGAAAGTCCGTGTCACGGGCAAGGCGGGGCTGGCGAGACGACTGGACAGTAGCATGTAGAGTATGTCAGACGACGAGGAGCGTCTAGCAACGCCACCCCCTAATCCCCCACCGGTAACCGCCGGGCGTATGCCATAGCCCGTCGGTTGACCTCTCGTATCCACACGGACCGCGGTAGAGGTACGAGCATTCACCACAGATATAGCTGCCGTGATACTTATATGTTGTACTATACAGACTGGCGCTAACCGCGCCTCTGTTAGGTACTTAATACTACAACCTTCGTCCACACGGACCACGGTAGAGACTGGCGCTAACCGCGCCTCTGTTAGGTTCATTGAAAGGTTATGAGCCCTGGGTTCATACTCTGAACCCGCCAATCGATCTACCTAGCTAGGATCAATCTCTAGTCTCGTTTTCACCCTCGGCGGGCGCGAAACTCGCCCTTGGTTGACTAGCAGGAACGCTCCCTGCATACCGCCGCTTCACTCGCCCTTATAGGTCGTCCTGCAGCATGTCCGACAGGCAACTACGATTCGGTCGCGGTCGCACCGGTGCACGTATCTCTCGTTCACGTTCACCGGAGGCCGCACAACACGCGCCACCTTCTGCGCCCCTGCCGCCGGCCGGGGCTACTCAGTCGTCACAAGAGGTCCCTCCTGCAGCTCCGCCCATCTCGCCATCGCGCCAATCGCGCTCTCCGGCCAGATCGCCACCTGCACGGGCCCCATCTCGATCGCCATCTCGATCGCTATCTCAAGGATCGCGTCATCGGTCGCGTGCCTCGTCGCACCATTCGCACGCCGCATCCTGCCACTCGCGTGCTCCGTCTCGCCAGTCTCAGGCTCCTCCGCATCGATCGCGCACCCCTTCGCGTCATTCGCGCGCTCGTACCCCCGAAGACGTCACGCCGCCCGCTGCTCATAGTCACCACTCACGTCGATCATCGTCGGAGCCGCCGTATCAGCCGCCGTTTGTGGATGACTGCCGTGTGCCGTTTGGGCGTGTACCGTTTTTCGACATCGCCGGTCCTCGCTACAATCGCCTCGATCGTGAACGTGCCATTCCATATGATCGTCGTACTCACATTGCGGAGAATCCTAATTACATGCGGGAGTATTATCCCCACCAGGGTATGCCCCCGCCTGCTCGTCCGGTTTGTCAGATCGAAGAGATCAGGAACCTCACCGCCTTCAACAACTTCAAAGGCGGCTGGACAGACGAGAAGGTGATACTCTCAATCAGCAATCGTAACTATCACGATTGGGCGAACAAGGTGGTACAGGCCATGGCGCAGTGCTGCCAGCTCCATCAGTACCTGAACTGCGGGACGACGGCGTACATTGAGCGGCCTACCCTTGGTCCCTGGCCTACGGACGCTGACTGGAAGTCACTCGATGCCTGGGATTTTAACAACCTCCAGGCTCTCTCCAGTCTGGTATCATCCATCGCCCCGGAGGAAGCTCGCGAGATCGTGGATTGCGCTACTGCAGCGGATGCCTGGTTCACGCTGAAGTCGCGCCACATCAAGTCGACTCCGGTCACGCTCTTCCGCCTCGTCGAGGAGACCTTCTCGACCCAGGTGGATCGCGGTGCGGACCTCCTCCGTACCGTCAAACGTATCTGCGAGCTTGGCAATCGCATCTTCGCGATCGGTCTGCCTACTCGTGATGCTTGGTGCGTAATGGCCATCCTGCACACCCTCGGCCCAGACTTGGTCCACGTCCGCGACACGCTCATCAATCACGGGTCCAAACTCGACCTCGCGACTGTCAAGGAGCGTCTCCGCGACGAAGTTGAACTCATTCGCGCGGACTCCAGACGTTCCGGGATTGCCGCAACTGCGACCACTCGCACAAAAGCCAAGGGTCGTCCTCCTCGTGACGGACCGTCGCATGGGCAAGGGGGGGGTAACAAAGACGAACGCAACGGCAACGGCAAGTCCAGTACCGGCCACTGGGTTGAGAACCCTCGCCATGCAAAGTACGGCGCACCGAAGCCCGGCGCACCGAAACGACTACTACACTCAGGCAGCAAGGCCTATCTGGGTCTCAAGCTAGCTAACGCCGCTCCTGCGGACCCTGTCGCCAACGCAGTCGTCGTTGAAGAATGGGGCCTTCACGCCGTCTGTGACATCGATGATGACGACACCGACTTCATCGCAATCACGACCTCGACGCCGCCGCCTCGTCCTCCGCTCACCTCGTCGTGCCCGTCTTCCTCGGACTGGAGACAGGATTGGCCTCTGACCGCCAACAGAGCGATCGTAGGTCGCCACCTTGGTAACTCCAAATGGTGGCTCAATACCGGCGCGTCAATCCACTGCACCCCGTTCCTCGACGATCTCTCCAACGTCAGCGACATCTCACCCATCCGCATTAAGGGGATAGGAGGAGACGCCATCCTTGCCACGAAAAAGGGGACTGCTCGTCTACAGGTACCGTCCGCCCCCGACCTCGTCATCGACAACGTCATGTGGTTGCCAGATGCCAAGATCCGCCTGCTCTCGGTCGGTTGTCTCGCTGACGCTGGCCTCGATGCTCGATTCTCCAAGTCTTGGGCGTCCATCCATCGTAAGGCTGACGACTTCATCGTGGCTCGTGCGTCTCGCCTTGGTCGTGGTCTCTACTCACTTGATCTCGACCGTTCGGAACCCGCCAACGCCGCCGTACCGATCAATGTCTGGCACAATCGGCTGGGTCATCCTGCGAAGTCGACCGTCAACACTATGGCTCAGACGGGCGCTGTCACTGGTATGCATATCGACCTCTCGTTGTCCCCTCCCCTATGCCAACCTTGTATTGTCGGTAAACAGAAAGTCAACGCTGTACCGAAATCGAGGATGGGCAGGAGGGCGACGAGGGTGTTTGATATTGTGTATTGTGACCTGTCTGGCGGACCCGACCGCACCGCGACACCTTCCGGCGACCATTATACCTGTACTCTAGTGGATGATTTCTCCTCTCGCAATTGGACCTTTCTTTTGAAGTCGAAATCTGATGCTCTCGAGTTGGTCAAAGGCTGGCACGCGCGCACCGCGCGCCAGGTCGGATATTCTCTCGGCACCCTGCGCATTGACAACGGCAAACTCAAGTCATCCGCCTTCGACTCCTTCTGCGCCTCCTCTGGCATCACTCTCGAGTACACTGCTCCCTACACGTCGGCTGAAAATGGGAAAGTCGAACGAATGCACGGAACACTTATGGGGTGTGCCCGTGCTATGCGCGAAGCCTCTGGCTTGCCGCTGACACTGTGGGGTGAGTTCGCCCTCACAGCCGGCTTCCTCGCCAACTATATTCCGTCCGCATCTCTTCCCCGAGGCATTACACCGCTCGAGCGCTGGTATGGTCGCAAACCGGATGTCTCCTTCCTGCACGAGATCGGCTGCACGGCGTACGCACTGATCCAGAACGTGCACAATCCCAAGATTCTTGGCTGTTCCATCCGATGTGTACTTGTCGGTTACGAATCGCACTCGAAGGCGTACCGGCTCTGGCACCCTGAAGGCCGCCGTCTCATCTCCACGCGAAATGTTTGTTTCGTCGAGTCTCATGAACTCAAGCCCCGCCCTTTTCGCCTGGGCCAAACTGTTGAGATGCCGCCTACGGCTGCGAATGATTTCTCGCATCCCGATCATGGCTGGCCATCTGCACCAGATGCTGCAGTGCCGGCGTCAACCGCTCCTGCTCCAGCCCAGCCCTCTGTGGTGCGTCCGAAGCGAGACGTCCACCCGCCAGCCCGTGTTGATGAGCCCGATCCGCGCCTTGAAAAGGCAATCACCGACGTTCGTGCTTCGGCCGATGCTCATGCTACTGGCAAAGCCGCCCGCAAGGAATGCCGCAAGACCAAGGTCGCCGCCGCGCTTGCCGACTACGACGCTTTTGCTGCATACGAAGCCGACCCTGATCTGCCCTGCGACGACTTACTTGGCTGCTTCGCGAATGCCGACGAACTCGTCACCGTGGATGACCTTTTCGACGAGATGCTGGACGACATGGTCATCCTAGCCGCATCTGATGAGCCCGAACCCAACTCAATCAAAGAGGCCCTCTCTGGCGAGGAGTCCGAGTTGTGGAAGCAGGCGCTCAAGGAGGAGTTCGCCGCGATCAAGGGTATGCAAGTGTACAAGCTTATCCCTCGCGCGGCCGTCCCTGCGGGCCATCGTATTCTGAAAGGTAAGCCGGTCTTCAAGCGCAAGCGCGACGAGACCGGCGCCATCTCAAGGTACAAAGCTCGCTGGGTGGCGAAGGGGTTCCTGCAGGTGTTCGGTATCGATTTCGACAAAACGACATCGCCCACCGCTCGCCTAGAGACCATCCGCATCCTCTTGCACATATGCGCTGTCATGGGCCTCGACCTCCGTCAATTTGACGTCAAGTCCGCCTTCCTCCACGGCGTGCTGGACGATCCGCTCTACATGGAGCAACCGAGCAGATTCGAGGAGGAGAATAAGCCCGCCAGGGACTGGGTCTGGATGCTGATGAAGGGACTCTATGGCATAAAGCAAGGCGGACACGTTTGGAATGAGGAAATGAACACGGCAATGGGCGAATGGAAATTCCACCGCGTCAACGTCGAATATTGCCTCTACTACCGCCAGACCGACGCCGGGTTTGTACTCGTCGCCGTACACGTTGACGACTTCCTATCCGTAGCTTCTTCCACCACCATGAACGACACCTTTGAAGCCCAGCTCCGCTCCCGTTGGGAGATCACCAAATCCGACGGCACTCACATCCTCGGGATCCACGTCATTCGAGACCTCGCTCGTCGTCAAGTCCACCTATGCCAGACTGCCGCAATCGATAAGGTTGTGAAGGAATTTGGTCAGGAGAACTCGCACCCCGTGTCAACCCCTATGGAACACGACATCAAGCTGTCTTTGCTCGACGAGCCCACGTCCGACGCCGAGAAGCGCGAAATGGCCAAACTACGGTACCGTGAACTTGTTGGCTCACTCGTCTACATCTCGTGTGCTACCCGCCCCGATATAGCGTTTGCAGTCACGAAAGTATCTGCGTTCGTGAACAATCCGGGCATGGCGCACTACAACGCTGCTATCCGGATCATACGGTACCTTCACCACATGCGTCTCTTTGTTCTGACCCTAGGCGCTGGCACCACCTACAACGGTATCGTCCGTCCTGAGGTCGGTGTTCGACTGGTCGGCATGACTGACTCGGACTATGCAAACTGTAAGGATTCGCGTCACTCGATCTCGGGATACTGCTTCTCCCTGGGCGCCGGCGCTATCTCCTGGAGCTCGCGCAAGCAGGACATCGTCACTACATCTACGTGCGAGGCCGAATACATTGCGGCGTGTAACGCAACCAAGGAAGCGCTCTGGCTGCGTCAGATCCTCCGCGAGATTGGATTTGACCAACCGAAGGCGACCTGCCTGGGCGCCAACAACCAAGGTGCTATCGTTCTTGCTGAACAGCAGTCACATCACACCCGCTCTAAACATATCGATGTTCGCTATCACTTCACTCGCGAACGGGTCGCTGCTGGCGACATCTATCTAACCTACGTGCGCTCTTCTGACAACATCGCCAACATATTCACCAAGGCCCTCGCTGCTCCAACCTTCACTCGCCTACGGAAGCGCCTCGGTGTCTCTCTCTTAGGATCGGATTAGGAGGATTAGGTTTCAGGAGGAGTTGAGGATATGGAGTTGACGTTGAGGAGGAGTGTCAGACGACGAGGAGCGTCTAGCAACGCCACCCCCTAATCCCCCACCGGTAACCGCCGGGCGTATGCCATAGCCCGTCGGTTGACCTCTCGTATCTCTACCTTCGTCCACACGGACCGCGGTAGAGGTACGAGCATTCACCACAGATATAGCTGCCGTGATACTTATATGTTGTACTATACAGACTGGCGCTAACCGCGCCTCTGTTAGGTTCATTGAAAGAGTAGACTAGGCGAGAGTAAGGCAATGAGTAATGTATAGGGTAGCCGTGGACTGGCGTTGTTGAGACGAAAAGGCGGGCGCCACGTGCGCTGCCTTGGTACATCTGCGAGAAAGGGGCTATAACGTGTCGGTTCGAGACCATGGAGCGTTTTATTCTAGACCATCGGCGCCGTCGCCTTATCCCTTGTTTTGCGTACCTTTACATGCACTCCGGCACTCGTTTACTTTATATAAAAAACCTACCGCTCGACGACTAGACGACACTGTTCTCTCTCGAGTAGTACTCAATCTGAGACGCATAATTCTCAGTTGTTTGCTGCCACCAGAGAACTCGTTGTGTGCCGCACCTCGCTTATTTAAGCTTGCCTGCGTCACATATTTTTGAGAGCAATCTCGTGAGTAACTAAACTATCGAAAAAAAATCTGACTTCCTCTGTTAGGAACACAGTCAGTTTGATCACCCGATTACGACCTTCGTTGGAAGCCGGTACAACCTCAGCTAAGTACATTAGCTTCTAGAACTCTAGAGCACTCAGCACGATGCCGATGTCTAGGGATCCCACGACTGGTCGTTGGACCAGACACGAACAAACTGCGGCAGGTATCACTACGACGCCGTCGCTCCAGGCACATGCCGCCGACGAGGATGTAGACTTTAAGTCTAATTCTCCAGCAAGTCCTCTTGTGGTGGTCGGACCTAGTGTTCCAAACCCTGGAGGCGCTCCTGTGGCCATCAGGTCTGGTACCCTGAACCCTGGAGTTGGCTCTGCAGAGCCTATCTCGTGCGAAAGCTTGCGTGGGACAGCATCTGCCTCGTCAGAATGGGCATCTGAGTCCATCAGGATAGACTTGAAGAGCTTCGCATCCATAGTAAGTGGTGGGAGCGGAGTCGTCACGGACGAAGGACCAGGCACCTGGACGGAGGTACTACTGTGCGGCACCAACGTAGCGCGTCCCCCGTGTTGATGGGTCGAGGTCCTAGCGTACAAGATGAAAATCAGTACGGTAGACTCAGTCAAAATGAAATCTTACCAAGGATGAATGTGTCTGGTGCTATGAGCATTAGTAGCTTGTTACAGCCACCGAGCACACCAAAGAAGGTGAGCATAGGCAAGAAACCATTGAAGGTGACTATCGATGACGCAAAGTCGGATGACTCACTCACTGATTATGAGACGCTGACACCTGCTCCGCATAGGGACAAAGGAAAGGTGGTGCATCTGAAAAAATCTAGACCACTATATGGCACTACATAGTCCCATATAGCCTCCATAGGTCCATAGCAATGTCCTTTGCTACCTGTGCTAAATATCCACCAGCCAATGCTATCATAGTGCTATAGGTGCTATAGAGGGTACTGTCATGGCTATAGTAGCTATGTAGGGCATACCTCAGTGCTATATAGCTCACACCTTAGTGCTACTGACACTATATATTCTATGTAAACTCTACAGCAATCATATGCTTGATAGATATTGTAGTCATCTGAATAAAATTACTTTTATTTATTATATATCACTGGTAATCATTCAAATTCTAGTAAAAAATCATTATTTTTCATTATATTTTATATAGATGACAAAATTGTATCGAGTACTACTGGTAAATGTATTGATTACATAAGCAGCATAGATATGCCACCCGTAGCCATAGGGGGAGTGGGGAGGGTGCTGGCGCTGAGCGAGGGGTGGTAGGCGACGGGCAGGTAGCGGGAGGGGCACGATTGCGTTACCGGCTCGTGCTGGGCGGAGGTGGCGTAAAGGAGGGAGGCAACACCGAGCGCGACCGTGTTGGCGGCTCGGGCTCAGGGCTGGGAGAGAGGCGGGGGAGAGGCGGGGAGGCAGGAGCACGGCGTTGAACGGAGGCCGGAGAGGGGCGGGGAGGTGGGCAAGAAGGCGGGCGAGATGTGGGGAGAGAGATGTGAGAAGGCGGCGAGATGCGGGGAGGCGGGTGAGAAGGCGGGCAAGAGGTGGGGAGGCGGGCAAGAGACCAGAGAGAGGCGGGGAGGCAGACGAGAAGGCGGGTGAGAGGCCGGAGAGAGGTGGGGAGACTGGCGAGAAGGCGGCAAGAGGTGGGGAGGCGGAGAGGCAGGCAAGATGTGGGGAGAGAGACGTGAGAAGGCGGCGAGATGTGGGGAGGCGGGTGAGAAGGCGGGCAAGAGGCAGGCAAGAGGCTGGTCAGAGGTGGGCGCGGGGGGGTGGGATGCGACGCCGAGCCCAACCGCGTTGGTGGCTCGGGCTTGGGGTTGGTCGAAGGCGGGCGGGGCAGGGCGTGAGTGCGAGAGGTGACCCCAAGTGCGGGAGGCGAACCCGAGTGTGACCGCATTGGCGGCTCGCACTTGGGGCTGGTCGAAGGGGGGCCGCGAGGGTGGGAGACGACGCCAAACGCGACTGTGTTTGGCATTGGGCGAAGGGGGGGTGCAAGTGTAGGAGGCAACACCAGACGCAACCGCGTTGGTGGCTCGCGTTCGGCATTGGGCGAAGGGGGGCCAGAGGTTGGGAGGCAACGCTGAGCGCGACCACGTTGGCGGCTCGCGCTCGATGCTATAGGAAGGAGGGCGGGAGAGGAAGCCAAGTCTGACCGTGTTTGCGGCTCGAGCTCGGTGTTGGGCGGAGGTGGGCAAGAGGCGGGAGGCTGGTGGGAAGGCTGCGCCCAGGGAGACTGCATTGGTGGCTCTTGCTTGGGGCTGGAGAAAGGTGGGTGAGGAGGTGGAAGGCTGCGCTGAGCACGACTGCGTTGGCGGCTCATGCTCGGCACTGTGGGAAGGAGGGTGGGAGGGGAAGCCAAGTCCGACCGTGTTTGCGGCTCAAGCTCAGCATTGGGCGGAGGGGAGCACGAAGGAGGGAGGCAACGCCGAGCGTGACCGCATTGGTGGCTCACGCTCGGCACTGGGTGATGGATGAGGGTGGGCGGCGCTGGGCAAACGACAGGGGCCGGCGGTGGCAGTTCTGTGCCAAGCTATTTGAAGTATATGGGATTGAACCTGTTGGAACTAGACGTCGAATGACAGCACACTGAGCTAGATACTTATCGTGCTCCGAACCATCGCTTAACTCCTGATCCCCCGCTAGCTGGTCCATCCGGAGTCGTCGATGCCGCGAGCCCTCCCTTGGATGAGTTGATAGCTAACACATGTCGGTATATGTCAAACTTTATTAAATCCAGCAAGCGTGAAGTGGAGGATGCTCAGAGGGCAAGAGCCAAAGCTGAAGAGGCTCGTTTGGTGTCTGACAACGCTTGCCTTGAGGCTGAATACTGACTTCAGAACATGTTGTCCAAGTTCGATCGTCTGATAGATGCACTTAACGAGCAGACCTATCACATGAGAAAGCTTGAGGACAGGGTCAATGACCAGAGCCGGGTATGTGGACCATCGGGGGTAGAGGTGAAGCATGTCAACAATAATCCTCGTGTCTCAGTCTACAACATGGCCCAGGCAAAGCCTGTCACCTCGTCTGTTAGTGCCTATGGGCTCCTTACTCAATGTGAATCTACTGTGGAACCGCCGAGTTCCTCTATATCTTTGACAAGCTCCTTAGGACAGACACTGCAACACAAGTTGAAACAGCTAGACGAGGCAATACGGGTGCTGGAAGATTCTATGGATTCTGGGCGGCCTCTACCCAAGCCTAACATCAAACCGCACCCTCCATGGGTCTATGATGGTCGTGATGACCTTGTAATATATCAATGTTTCATTGAGGAATCCATTGAATATATTATAGATGGTCAGTGTCACGGGTCAATCATCGCCGACCATTGCCTACTATCCCTGACTGTCCTCCGACATCTCCTCCGCTCTTCGCCGTTCATTTTCCCGCGGTCCTCCGACGGATCTCCGGCGGACTTTTCGTATCTTTGGCTCCCATATATTCCCTTTGTTCGTACTTGCTTATTCTCACACTGTATTCTTCTTCCTTGTGCTCGGTTTCCTTGGCACTGATCCCCTTTGTGTTCCACATGTACTTTAGATCTTCTTCCCTGTTCCCTTTGTCTTACTGATGATAGATTCATCTCCGACTTCTCCATTGTTCTGCTTAGTACTTATACTGGCTTGTCTGTACGATATTGCTCAGTTCCAATATCGACTAGGCTTTCCCCTTTGCTCCTAAGCGGACCTCGAGTGTGTAGCGACCCTTCGGGTCAAGTCCGCCTCTGCCCCGCTTTGCTCCGGCTTTGCTCTGACTTTGCTCCGATGTCAGCATACCACTCTTCTTGATAATGTCTCTGAATCGCATCCACCCGACTCTGTGTTGTGGTCTGGGCAGTACGCCCCTGCTCATTGGACTTAGGTCCACTTGTCCCAGACCCGTTCAGCTTTGGTATCGTTCATCTCCGCTTTTCCCGTGCATCGGCCCTCCGCATTTCCGATATTTTTGCCCCCAGTTTCGTCCCTGACAGTCAATTCATGCCACAATGTCAGGTTCAGAAACTGGGATGTTATCTTGATGGTACGGCTGGCTAGTTCTTTGTGCATGTAGTAAAGTCACCAGAAGAATGGACAATGTCTTGATTCCTTCATGAACTGTTCAATTTCTGTTTCCCCGATGGGTTTATGAGTAAAATCCGGACGGAATGGCTCACTTGTAGACAAGGGGACACGGAATCTATCAAGGTATATCCGCAACACTTGAGGAATATCGAGATGATCTCGGCGACAAAGTCACTGATAGGCTCTTCATTAAATGGTTCTGGGGAGGACTGTATTTGACAGCGCTAGTGCACGCAGTGGCAAGTGGCTGGGACTGACCTGGTGAGCTGGTGAGCTTACTGGTGGGGACTGCTAGTAGGAAGTGAGTTGTCATTAGGGGTGGACAGGCCTGCTCTTATATACTACAAAGGAGTGGCTATGCAGGGCTGTACGCTATCATACCAGTGCAGATGGCTATGAAGCCATTGATGTAAAAGGCTGTGTGAACAGCCATGCTGTGTCGCATGTGACCAAGGCTGTGTAGAGCCTAGTTCAACAGACTGAAAGATAGCATCAGTAAGGAGCTATACCAGGACCGTCTACATCCAGATAAGAGCACGTACTTGCAGGTGTTGGAGAGTGCATTGATTGCGGAACGAGTAATCAACAATACGTTACACAGGGAGCGCCCTGTCATTGCTAAATCTGCACCACCGTCAGGATGTGGGCAAACACCCCAGAATTGAGATGAGCGACCGAAGGACGGCAACATGCCGTCCGCGTCTGACTGTACACCAAAGGGTGCAAATCCAGACAAAACTCAGAAGGGTGGTCAACGATCATCACAGGTATTGTCAAAGAAAGACTCACTGAAGCGCCTGTCGCCTGAGCAGATGAAGGAGCATGTCAAAAACAACTTATGTTTCCGATGTCACAAGTCTGGTCATATGGGCCACAATTTCCCTCGTGCTCAATAAGTCCAGAGTGAAACCAAGAACTCAGCACCTGGCGTGAAACAGAGCTATACGATCAACTATGCGCAGATCGATGAGTTGGCCGACAAACTCTTGTCAGATGACGAACCAGTCGAACCTATGACTGAGCTCCCATGTGGATCGGTGCACTGGCAGCTTGAGGACGATGACAAACGGGCAGTGAGCGATGCCGCAAATACTGCCTTTATCCAGGACGATGGACTTGATCCGTTGGGCAACCTGCCTCCATATGAAGAACGGCAATACGTGCAAGAAGTTATCTATAACTGGTACACACCATATCAGTTATTGTGGCAAGCAGAAATTGAAAACTACTTCTTTCAGGCTAATGGGACTGGCTGTCACGTGTCGGATCTTGGGCCATAACCGGGCCAAGTACGATAGCTCCGGCCGTTCCGGGTTGTCCGCCATCGGAGTAGCAGCTCTGGTACCGGACCTACGTTATCACATGAATAGTCCTCCGGCGACTCAACGTCCCGGTAGTTCTCGAGTCATAATGGATGCAACTCCGACGTTCACGATCGATATGCCTTTAACGGTTTGATATTCCCTTCGGACTTATTCTACCTCCGATTATCAGCTTCGTAACCATATGCTCCATCCTTACGATTGATCATTCCACATGGTTCATAGTTCCGATAACTCCTTATCGATACGAGCTCCGAACCGTGCCTCCGCGTATATAAACTCCTAGCTCCTGTACTCTAACTCCTTAGTTCGAATATCGACTAAGTTACTCCTCTGCTCCGACACGGACTTAGAGCGCGTAGCGACTCAAGCCTTAAAGCTTGAGTCTGGTCCGTACTCGCACTCACTCTCTGTATCTCGAAACTCTGCTCCGACTTT